AAGGAAGGCTGTAGTCATGTAGAGCGCTGGCAGCTATCACATTGGCCCTCAGCTGACACATGAGCAGAACTGGAAGACCACTGGAAATTGGCCCAACATCTGGTTAGCTTTCGACAGAGCGGGTTTATGATTTCCCAGAGCGGGCAGCACTCGCGTGGCTGCAGCCAAGGAGACATCACATGTCCAGGGTCTTCTCTGGTTCCTTTGCTCTGGGTCTTGTCTACTGTTACTCTGCATGGGTGCCACTACTAAGGGGAAGAATCCAGAAACCAGGGCTTCAAGGGGAAGCTCAGTGACCAGTCACTGACAGTGGGAGCCACACCCTTCCCCTCTATCTTGGATTTGAGTTAGTGGGGAGTTCCGCCCCTCCCACTCCTCCATTCGCAGAGGGGATCTGCTTTGACTCTTTGGGGCACACAGGCTATGGTCCCAAGCCCCCACTCCCCACAGACTGCTGGCAGAAAGGAACATGGACGCATGTGGCTTTCTGGAAGTAACATGGGGCTGGTGCATCTTGCTGGGCCACGTGCAGTACTTTGGCTTCTTTGGAATTTATCTGTCATCAGGTGCTTGAGAGCTGAGTAAATAGAACAATATATTTTCCACAGTGTTTATTTCAGTCGGAGGGAAATGACTAGCAAAGAGTCTCTATTGGCTTCCACAGAGCCTGCCTTCTTGTGACTGAACAGCACAGAGGGTGCGTCTACACGCATGTCATAATATGACCTAGACCTTATTCATTCAGGATTGTCAGGCACCATTTTGTTTCAGACTGGTAGCTTAAAAACCCAAATCAAATGCTTTCCTACAAATGAATTGCATTCTTAAGAACAGTCTTACAAAAGACTCGTTACAGAAAATGGAAGTGAGAATGAGTCATCTGTCCACTTGCTGGGGTTGGTAACTGCGCTAACCCACAGCTGATGATTTTGTTGCATTCTTTCCAGCCTCTCGTGTGAGTGACAGTTGTGCTCCTCTGCACAGCTGTCATGGTGGACCCCCTGCTTTACATATGTTTGCCCCTAATTTTGAAACCTATCTGAGTCTCTCTCCCTTGTTTGTCATGGGCTTTATCAAAATTAGTTTACTCCTTTAAGATTTATTTCAGCTGGGCATTGATGGCTCATGCCTATAATCCCACTTACTCAGGATGCAGAGATCATGAGAATCAGGTTCAAAGCCATCCCAGCCAAATAGTTCCATGAGACCCTATCTCAAAAAACCCTTCATAAAAATAGGGCTGGTGGACTGGCTCAAGGTGAAGGCCCTGAGTTTAAGCCCTAGTACTGCAAAAAAATTAATAACTTATTTTAGCAAACATTTGCTTCTAGATAATGTGACACACAGTTCAGACAAGAGGAGGGAAAAAGAACTGACAAGCAGGGCTCCTGAAGCACATAGCAGAGAGTTGGAAAGGGGCCAGGAGCCACAGGCTGCCTCCAGCTCTTGGCTTTCCCTGCTGTCCATGTGACCTCATGTGACCTCATCTTCTTTGAGTCCCAGTTTCCTCACCTATACACTAGAGATCATATGACCTCTCCATATGGTCACAAGGATTCAGCAAAGTATGCACAATGTCCCCAGTTCTTCAGAACTTACTCTACGAAGGACAGTTTGTGTGTGTGTGTGTGTGTGTGTGTGTGTGTATGTGTGTGTGTGTGTTGTTTTGTGGTGCTAGAGATAAAACCCAGGACCTTGCACATGCTTGGAAACTTGTCTTTGTAGCAGAATCTTCCTCTCTTTTCTCCCCAAAGAGACCTGGATTTTTAGTGATTTGTTTTGAGTGAGTACTTTCATAAGTGACTGGGCCTGCTTGAGAAACACTCAGTGGTCAAGGCCCCAAGTGCTTTTGAGGCGGCTGGACCAGAGTAATGTCTGTAGCTTTCAGGTGGCTGCACAGAGCTTGAAAAATGAGGGCCAGGGTGGAATGATTCAGAGTAAATGGGATTTTAGCTGGGCATGAGGACACACATCTGAAATCCCAGCACTCAGGAGGCAAAGGTAGGAGGATCAGGAGTTTGAGGTGAGCCTGGACTATATAGTGGGACGTTGTCTCAGAAACAAACAAACAAAAACAAAAAGGGGATTTAAGAGGTAGGGGTGGGAGACAGAAAGACCAGAGACAGGAGATGAGGCACTTAGCCCATTTTGAAAGAAGGGGGAGGTGGGAATGGGTCAGAGATACTGGAAGGCACTTCAAGTGTCACCACATGCTATGTGGTGTCCACTCTGCTGTGTCTCCTTGGCTGGCGATAAAATCATCTCCCATGGAATGCAGCACAGGGCCAGGACTGTCTGGGTAAAGGGCCAGAAGTTTGGAGACCACCCCAAATCAGCCAGAGCACAACCAAGTCTGGTCACCTTCCTCTAGCCGCCTCTCCACCAATCTCCCGTCAGCATTCCTAGTACCCATACACTCACCTGTCCCTTTTCCCTGCCGTCTACCTTGTCACTTCATCCCCAGTCCCCTAGCCAAGCCCTCCCCAAGTGCTGCTTCTCTCCTTAAAGTCCCCCCTTGGCCTGGCACACCCTGGTCTTCCCTGTCCATCTCAAAGCCAATTCCTGTCCATCCTTCAGAACCACCTGAGCAGCTTACCTCCTGAGGGTCCCAGAACGGTGCCTTCTTCAGGCTGCCTTCCTTTTGTGTGGGGTTTTGTTTTTTTGTTGTTTTATCATTCTGGGGTCTGAACTCAGGGCCTCAAGCATGCTGGGCCAGGACTCTACCAATTGAGCCATGCCTCCAGCCCAACCAATTTCATTAGGTTGGGTTTTCTTTTTGTTCGTGGCAAGCCTGGTGTTTAAAGGGTTAACTATCAAGACAAAACTCCCACACTGTACACCCGCCAGCCACCGTGCTGGGCTCACCCTCCTCCTGTGGTCTTCTTGGGAGACGGTGAGCCTAGGGGCACACAGGAGGCTCAATAGGGTGTACACCTTGGCACTGCTTTCAACGTGGACTCACCCCATGGGCGTGTAACCACCCTGCCTGTCCGGGCCTCTTCCACCCTTTGCAGTCATCTAAAGGCAACTTTGAGCTGTGCCTCTGATAATCTCTGTGACCTTGGGGAAACACTTCACTACTCTGAGCCTTAATTTCCTTCTCTAAGGGAAGGGGCTGGACTTACAGGCTGATCCAGAGTGAGTGTTTGCGTGCTCTGGGACCTCCCTTTGCAAGCGCCAAGCTGCTGGTTAAGAAAGAACAGAATGACCCCAGAGGGCTTTTCTTCCTGTCTTAAGAAGGTTTGTCACAGATTTCTTCATTTTCCAGAAATCCTAAGAGAGGGGAGGGGCAGTAATAGAAAAGAGACAATGGGCCTTCCCCAGGAAACTCAAGCCCTGGCCAGTTTGCCTCTCTGTGACAGCTCCTTCTGGAAATAGGGTGACGACTGATGGGTCATAAAATTGGGTGCCAGAGTGTCAGTTCACAAAGGACCAGAAATGAAAGGATAGAGAGATGTTAGGACTGTATGAACATCTCTGGGAAAAACAAGTGGCAGAAAGATTCAGTTGCCATTCTTGCCATTTAGTGAGCCAACATGCCTCAGTTAGACATTTACCACCAAAATGTAAGCCATAATCCACAAGTTAGACTTCCACGGCAGGCAGATTCTTTGACAAAGTCTCCTTTGGGGGTGCGAGAGAGTCTGCCCAACTCCAGCCATCGTCTGTCCCTCACCTGTGTCACTCCTTGGTGTGACTTGCCTCTGACTGGAGTGCGATGTGTCCATGGTTATGATGCCAGCGTGAGCAAGGAGTGAGTAAGGAGTGATCGAAGAACAAGGGAGGAGTGCCATCGGATCTGGACAGTGCGCTCCTCCTGCACTGCTCTGTCAGGTCCTAAATGGGGCTGCATCTGGTACTCAAGGGCTGTATTTCAACAGTTCCAAGAAGTGCCACCTTTTCCCCCTTTGGAATAACAAAAAGAGACACTCGTCAGGCACAAACAATCCACTGAGGTCTCCCAGCTTGGAGCAAGTGAAATGTTCATTTCTACAGTGTAGTGTTCAAGGCCCATGTGAGCTGAGGAGGTAGAGTTTGGCGTCTTGGCCTGGGCCTGGGCTGTTGTAGCCCTGATAGGCTTTCCTGCAGCCCCGGCTCCCAGCTGTTTCTATAGAAAAACACTCACATGGCTGGCAGCGTGGAGCTGCCCATTCCTTCTTCCCTTTCCCACTCATCTCTCCACCTAATCTTGTCTTTTGTTTTTATTAAAAATGGAGGTTTCCCTGGAGAAGTGGTCCCTCTGCCTCTTAGTGACAGATATACTCTGTTGCTTTTGTAGTCTGTGCCCCTGCCTATACTGAAGGCTTAACTCAGACCCAGGTGCTTTCTGGCCCCAGTGGCAGGGCTGCTATTTGCCCTGTGTGCTTAGCAGCCAGTCCAGCTCTTCACTTTGCCATAGGAGTTTGAGCGCGTGAGCACTGTGGTCTGTGGTCTCACATGCCTGGCCTGTTTCCCCAGGTGTGGAATGTGTCCGGTACAGATGTGGTCTCCGGTGGCGTTCAGACCTGCCACAGAGCGGCAGCGAATTGCCCTGTGGAAAAACTAGTCGTGTTCCATTCCTTTCCACTTCCTCTTCTGTGTCTAGGAGGGTGTCACTGCTGGGGGCCAGTGTGTCACCATCACCACTGAGGGCCTGCCAGTCTCCCTTTACATAAAGATAGAGCAAGCCTCCTGCCATAGCGGGTGGACAGCAGTTGTTGGCCAGAGAGTGCAAACATTGCTTCATTTGTGTTTTGTACTTGCTCTTAGTTATTACATCAGTGCTGATTTCCTGCTTACAAGTAGCAATAGAAGACACACGTTTTAATACATTTATGGACACTCAAGGCACAGAGAACATGGGCATGAGTTACAGCACAGGTAGTGGCTGGACTGACAGAACTCACGAAGGTAGAACATGGGTGTCTGGAGTTGAAGACACCCACTCTGCAGAGCCTTTAGGAGAAGCGTTCTCCCAGGAAGGCAGCTCTGTTGACGTCTTTCCCCTTTCTTCATACCAGGCATGGATCCTGAAAAACTCGAGCAAATCCAGCTGCCAGTGCCTGATGCTGTGGAGAAGACTGCATACAACTATCTCCTGGCTGAGAGGCTCATCAGGATCATGAACAGTGCCGCCCAGCCAGGTACCTGCCTGCCTGGGGCTTGTCTTTTCACAGGGCTCAGTCAGAGGAGTCAGATCCTTCTGAGACCAGACAAGTCTCAGCCAGCCCTTTGCCCCTGGGTCACCAGCACCTATAGTCAGGCCTGCATCTCTGGCTCCCTCCCCCACTGCAGCAGCAACCAGCTCTTCCTGTCCATCTGCTAACCGACCCTGCTTAGCTTACGAGATCAGGCGCATTCAGGGTGGCATGGCTGTAGATAGCACCCAGCTCTTTTTCTCCTTCTGCACCCTCTCTTGCCTGCAGTCCTCTTTTCTGGGTGGCCCAAGCCTTTGTGGGAATGAAGTAGGCCGAGCATCTGAGTGTGGGGAGGCTTTGAAGATTTGGATGAGGTGCTTTGGGAAATACTCACCTTACCTAGTTAGTTGACCCAGGCCAACACCAATCCACAGCTAGGCCTAGAGCTAGAAAGAGCAGGCTAAGTGACCTAACACAGAGTTTCTCAATTGGGTCACGTGATTTTTGCCCCCCAGGGGACATGGGACAATGTCTGGAGACATTCGTGGTCATCATAACTAAGAATGCTACTGGTATCTATTGAGTGAAGGACAGGGCGCAGCTGACCTCCCACAGTGTGGAACAGCCCCACCACACAGAATGATCTGGTCCCTGCTGTCCACAGTGCCAGGGGCCAGAGCTCAATTCCCAGAGACTTCTCCACAAAGGAAGGCGAGAGGCCACAGAGCAAGTATGTAGAGGAAAGGGCCAACTGCACTGCTGGCCTGGGGAGAATACCCATCAGGAGCAACTTTGGGTGGGCCCAGGCCAGGTCGGGATACCATGGTAGAGCATCCTTCAGGAGCTTCTGAAGAAAAAGTGAGCAGGAACCAGACTGTGACGGAGACAGAATTTGCTAGTGAGCAAGTGGAGGGGCTTGGAGAACTGGGGGCTGGTGGCCTCGGGATGTCAGCAGGTATCAGAGTATTTATTCACTGGACAGATGCCTTCTAAGAGTCTCCATGCCAGCCATGTCATGGGTGACCAGGGGCCAGGAAGTGTGGGATGGACTGGATGAGACTCCTGCCACAGTTGGTGGACTCCACGTGGAGATGGGCTCTGGAGCTCAGAGAAGAGGTCAAGGACAGAGCAGGCACATGTGCGGCCCAAGAGAAGAGACAGGGCTTCATCCATACTTAGGGTAATGAAGAAGAGGAACCTGAGCCGGGAGAAGAGGGGCGGGAGGGTGTGGCTCAGGACAGAGGGTACCTGGTGAGGGCAGCTCCTGCCAAGAGCTCCTGTCAGAGCATGTCCCTGAGGATGGTGCCAAGGGAGAAGTTGGCAGCAGCTGTGGGAGCCAGCAGATGGGGCAACGCAGGTCTGGATGTCCTGTCAGGAGAGGAACCTTCAGGGTGAGAAGGGGTGGCAGCCCCTGGGGGCTCTGCATACAATGGCCCGGCTTCTAAAGAGAACAGGTGAGGCAGCTTGGAGGCATGGTCTGGAGGCTACACTGAGGACAGGCCTTGCTAGTCCTCTCTTCCCCTGGAGAATCAGGACCAAGGGAAATAGGAGCAGCTACTTGGCAGGAACTTGCAGTAGCAGGGGCTGGGGTGACCTCAGGAATGTTGAGGGGATGGTGTTGCAGGAGTCAGAGTTTGCTGCCCAGACCACTGCAGGTGGGGGTTGGCATAGTGGTAGGCGGGAGGAGACTACTCTGGAGAGAGGCATGCCGGGCCAATGGAGAGAGGCTCTGAGTGCAGGACAGGAAAAAACCATGGGCAAAGACTCGCCAGCCTTTTCCTGTGGTCCTCTCGGGTTTGTGCCCTGCTTGGCAAGGCCTGTTTTAGGTGTACGTAGCTTATTTATAAGCACAGGTCCTTCTGTTTCCTCTAACTGCCACAGTGTTAGCAAAAGGACTGGCTAGGAGGTGTGCAGGGCAATTCTGCCATGAGTACCCCAATGGCCCACCCTCTTCCCTGTGTCTTCCCTGTGGCCTTCCACACTAGGACCTTTCCTCAGAAATAAGCTTAGAGACCCGTGGGACCTTGCCTAAGAGCAGTTGGTCTTCAGCCTGGCCATTACAAATGACTCTGAGAAGAGGTACCACGTGTGGGTTTTGACCCAGCTGTGACACCCTAGACAAGTTACTTCACTTTTCTAAACCTCAGCCTTCAAAGCACCTATGGCAGTGGGCTTTCGTAGGGATTCCTTGAGAAGGTGTGCCTGACACTATGCCTGACTCACAGCAGAAATAAACAGAGAAAGAAAGCTGTTCGAAGTCTGTTGGAATCTGGCTTCAGGCACAGCTGGATCCAGATACTCAAATAACGTCTTCGAGACTTATCTTTAGGGCTGTGACGTAGCCCAGTGATAGAGTGCCTTAGCATGTTCAAGACTCACAGTTTGATCCTCAACACCAAATAAAAAAGGCAAAAAAAAAAAAATAAAGACTATTTTTGAACTCTGCCACCTTTTGCGTTGGCTTGATACCAGCATCTGTAGCCATCCTTTCTCTCCTGGACCTCCAGGCTTACCTGATGGAGACACATCAGTTTGGGCAGTCTGGTTGGAAGGGAGAACTAAACTGTATGTGCAGAGCACTCTTGGAAGATTGAAAATGCTGGTGAGGCTGAGGAGGGGGCTGCAGGTTAAAATGCTTACACCATCCAGGCCACCAGAGCTGTCTTCTCTGCAGCCAGTACAAAGATAGACTCACTCAGTGCTGCCAGCAAGCTGCAGATTTGAGCCTCCCTGTCTCTGACTGGCTCCCTTGCCTATTCCCATGCGATCCCTGGGACCAGAGGAGTGGCATACCTGACCAGTCTGGGCCATGTGCTCATCACACCTGGAAAAGGAAAGGAGACCAGTCCTACCCAACTCTACCCAACTCACATGCCCCAGATGGGGCTAGTGGAAGTGGGGATACCCAGTCCTGGAAGTGGGGCAGCACACTGGATGGGCACAGCCACCACAGAGGGCCATTCTCTAGGCCTGTGGTAGCATTTACTTACCTGCCTCCCCCGCCCTGATAAGGGACCTCAGGGAGGTATTTAGTATAAGTATTGAATTAGAACTGATTAGGAAGGGGTTGGAGGTGGTGGCTCCCTCTGTGTCCTCACTGGGTGTTGGAGCCTTGAGCAGCTGCCTATCAGCTGACATGTAAACTGTGCAGTAGATAAGGCACAAGCCTTGTGCTTAAAGTGCTCAGCCCTGGGAGCGCCAGGCTGACCCTGCTGTGATCTGCAGATGGGAAGATCCGGCTGGCCACACTGGAGCTGAGCTGCCTGCTCCTCAAGCAGCAAGTGCTGACCAACAATAGCTGCATCATAAAGGACGTGCACCTGGCCTGCCTGGAGGTGAGGGCTCTACCCTTCCCCGCTCCTGCCCTGCTCCTAGTGTCCTGGCACAGCTGGAAGAAGCTGACCTGAGGCTCCAAGGCTTCGCCAGTCCTCATGTCCATCAGGAACTTCCTTCGCTTGGCACCACTGGCTCCTGAAGGATTTTGCAGCTTCGAATACAGTGGTCTCCTGCATTTGCCCTGGGGCTTTTAAACTGTTCCTTCTGTGTTACACTTTTGTACATACACACACACTTACTTAGTTTTTTGTGCTAAAATGTACATTTACTAAGTTTTCAGTAGCTTTTGTGGCCCTTCCTCCACATTTTCCACATTTTTTAGAAAATGTAGGAAGTATGAAGAGGTGAAAAGTAACTATAATGATGCCAGGGTGTTCTATGCAGAGTTCTCTCTCTCACACACATGAACACACTGACCAGAGAATTTGTTTTATAAAAGTGGAATCCTTCCTAATGGCTGTGCTTGATAATCTGTGATCTCCCACTGAATTAACCATTCTCCACATCATTACATTGAATCGTTTGCCCTTTCCCTGAAAGACCTACCTCCCTACCTCTCTTCTGTTTCAACAGGGGGCGAAAGAAGAGAGCATCCACCTCGTACGACATTTCTATAAGGTAAATGCAGTGCTATGGACAGCCCCATGGGGTGTCTTGTAGAAACAGAGCGTGGTGGCTAGTCATACAACGTAAAGGTTATGTGTCTTCAGTTACTTTTTATCCCCATGGGTACAATAAAAGTGTTCAGTTTCAGTGTCCAGAGCAGTGATCCCTGAACTTTTCAGGCTTATCAGTAAAGTTTCTGAGGACTCACCCCTAGTGTATGACAACTTGTTTAGCAGTTACATGTGTATAACTTACGAATCGTAAACACGTGTGCCTATATTACGCAAGGGATTCTGTTCGTGAGTTATATATACAATACATATAAAATTACTTGTCAATTACTTGTGATTTGATCCATTATATCTGTATAATATTTATGGGCATATATGCTAAGGAACCTCATATAGGCTTCTAAACTTTTATCATTAAGTGTAATGAGATTTTGTTAAGTACCACCATGACTTAGAATCTGAAACATTTGTAGAGATTTCTCTTCAGGTTCCAGGTGATTCATTTTAAAATATCTAGTTGCGGTGGCTTTGTTCAATTCTTATCTTGGGCACATGTTTCATTTCAGGCTGCTGTAACAAAATCCATCAGCTTGGTGCTCATAAGCACTAAGCATTTATGTCTCACAGTTCTGGAGACTAAGAAGCCCAAGCTTAGTGTAGGAGTGGGTTTGGTGAGGCCCACTTCCTCCCGTGTCCTCGCATGGTGGAAAGGGCAGTTTTCCTCAGCCTCTTTGACAAGGCACTAATCCCCTTCACAAAGGCTCCCTCATGACCTTAGTACCTTGTAAAGGTCCCACCTCTTAAAACCATAGCCTGGGGGTTAGGATTTCAACATAGGAACTTGCAAAGGACTCATTCAGACCTTAGCCTTCGCTCAGCAAGACTCGTCATTTGTCAGCCAGAGAGGATTAATCCATATATGAACAGTCCTCATACTCTGCTAATTGTTTGGCTTCCACAGCAGATCTCTCCAGGTCCGGTGGCTATGCTGCCCCTGCCAGGAGGGACTGGTATCAGCCTGTGTTCCCTGCTGCTCATGTGTGCTCTCATTATCTGACCTCTAACTGTGTTTCTTTTCAGGAATTTCTTAAGCTATGCCAGCATTGTTAGTGTTTGTTGAGATGAAGCCAGGTCCTGTAGTCTGGAAATCCTCCTTCCAGGCCCAGTGGACCCCATCCAGCCATAGAGTGACTGCCCAGACAAAGGGGTACCACTGAGGGTCCCACACACATCACATGGGGAGGAAATCCCATGTTTTCCCTTAGAGCAACTCAAACCTCACTTGGGGACACCCCTGCCCCCAGCCAGCCCAGAAGAAAGCAGAAAGCCCAGGTTGTCCTAGTTGTCTTTGGGACTCATTTACTATATCTGTCTAAATCCCCCCCCCCCCCAAAGCTTTTGGATTGCAAAACCCTTGAGGGTTCTGGGCTAACAAAGGGAAAACTGTATTTGATTTTCAGTTCCCTTCTCCCAACCTGTAACATCTGTAACACCTGTACCCTATGTACATCTCAGAAGCTCTTGGATGTCTTTAGGGCTATCATATCTGTTGACACCACCTACACCATGCAGAAATGCTCTGACAACTGACAAATAGAAAAAGGATCTGTGCCCTTTCCCTCCTTGACTTGGTGTGTGTGAGTGACGGAGGTGACTATTTCTGGACATAGGAGACAGAGAGAGGATTGTTCTGATAGTCATTGTCCACCAGAGACTATAGTGACTGAGCACTTACATTTCCCTGGCCCCAGATGAGTGGCAGGCTCTGTGCTCTGCAGCTTTTGTACATTAACCCATTTTGCTTTCAGGATGACATGGGCTGCCATGGGGGTTTGTGTTTTGTTTGTTCTTGTTTTGGTCATTTCTACCCTGCAGAGAAACACAGAGAGACCCTCTGGTTTATGTATCTCAGACCCATGTTGGTCTCCCTCACCAACCTCTTCTGAAGGGGACCTTCTGGGTAGTCTCAACCCTGAGGAACTATAGGCCCTTTACAAACAGATGATGTTATGTACTCAAAATATTAACCTTTATTCTACTTTAATTATGGCTAAGGTTATTTTTGTTGTTGCTTTTTAACTGCTTCAGTAGAAGAACTCTAACTCAATACACTTTTCAAAAAGGAGAGAAAGGCTGTGTGGTACAACTTGATGTTTGGTCTTTCATCTGAGCGTGTGTGTTTGTGTTCACGTGTGTATTTTACTTTGCAGTGATTTACGAGAACTCACTAATGGGAAGCAGATGGCCTCACAAGCCCAGGGCTGAAGTTTATAGTACTGTATTCATGGAAAAACTATGAATAATCTCTTCCTTCCCTCCCTTTCTGTACAGGGAGAAGAAATCTTTCTGGACATGTTTGAAGATGAGTACAGGAGCATGACAGTAAGTAAGGGGCTAGAACATACCTGGCTGGCACACCCACGGAGGACTCTGCCTGACCTGGGGCTCTGAAGTGGAGCCTTTTGATCCCCACCACCACTAAAATGTCAGATTACATTCACTTTCCCTGAATCGGGCCATGTCTGAGATGGGGGAGATTCACTTTGATGTGAATCGTGCTGGGGAGGTATCTACTAAGGACTGACTTACTCTGTATCAGGATGTTTTCTTTTTTTTTTTTTTTTGTAGTACTGGGGCTTGAACTCAGGGACTATACTTGAGACGGTGCACCAGCCCCTGTGTTGTGTTGGATTTTTTCAAGATAGGGTCTGGCGAACTATTTGCCTGGGCTGGCTTTCTGAGCTCTACACTGCAGGGCCCTTACCACATCTCCGCCTAAGGCCTCCTCTGGGCCTTCTCAAGTCTCTAGCCATGCCCAGCAGTGCCCAGAGGCCAGGCCTCTCATGACTGTGACCATGATCATGGCCTCACTATCAATGCGCAGCCCCATCATCCTTAGAGGGGCCAGACTGGACTCTTCAGATCATTCATTCTGAATGATAATGCGGTGGGCATAGTTGCCTATCTGCTGTTTTATCTTAACTCCCCTCCCCCAGCAACGTAATTCCCCAGTTACATTTCCTGCTGGGAAAGGTGAAGTTCATATTTTACTTGGCCTATGGGAACACTTGGGCTCCTAAAACCCTGCTCGATGTCTTTTGTTGCTTACTGACCGCATGACCTTGGGCAGGTGGCTTCAATTCTGAGTCTTGATGGCTTTCATCTGTCCGCTGGGCCCATGTTACAGAATTGCCCTGGCTGGATGTGAACAACCAGCAAGGCGCCACATGCAAAGTCCATGTTCAAAAAATAGTCCTTTCCTCGCCCTCCCACCTTAGGGAGCTTCCTCAGTTTTGTTCTAATCAAATGTTTATGGTGTGTCCTGCACAATGCCTGATATTCTCCAGAAACACAAAGATGACACACCCCAGGCCTGTGGCTAAAGTCAGTCCTCAGCTCAGCCCTTAGGTAATCAGCCCCAGAGAAAATGCAGAGGAGACAGGCCCCTCAGGGCTGGGAGAGACACCACTGAAACCAGGCCTTGGCTTTGCCGCTCCCCTCACCTCCCTTAGGTCCCTGACTTAATGCTAAAGGTATAAAGGGCTCTGCAGTCTAGCTTCCCCCATGGCAGGCTGGAAGAGCTCCCTGAGAAGGCTATGAAGAGTGAAGGGAGCAGAGCAGAGGTCTGCAAGCCAGCAGGGTGGCCTGGGTGGGGATATGCTGTGCCACCCCTGCTCTGAACTCGGGGATCGGGAGAGGAGGGAGGCCTCTGGGGGAAAGTGCTTAATGTGTCCAGTAGGAGACAGGCCTCCTGCACTACGTGACTCAGTGGCCACTGGGTTCAAAAGGAGCTTGGGAAAAATAAAGAGCCTAGTGCTCACATGTCTGGCAGCCTTGACACACGGTCTCAGTCTCAGCCCAGGGTGGCAGTGCTCCTTGGCTCTGTGCAGTGCAGGTGGAGGCCTGTGTGGCTTCCTGCTGCCTTTCACCAAGTGACGGACCATCCTTGAGACTTCCCGTGATGTCTCTTCTAGATGAAGCCCATGAATGTGGAATATCTCATGATGGATGCCTCCATCCTGCTGCCCCCAACGGGCACGCCACTGACAGGCATTGACTTTGTGAAGCGGCTGCCGTGTGGTGACGTGGAGAAGACCCGGCGGGTGAGTGAGCACTGGAGCTGGCCTCTCCTAGACAGCCTTTGGCCAGGGGCCCTTGGGGCCAGGAAGGAAAGGGTCTCTGCCTCCTGCGTTAGCTTAATCATGGGTAAGAGTGCCACCTCCATGCCTACCACCACAAGTGTCTTTCCCTGGCATCTGGCACCACCGTCAGCTGCAGGCAGGCCACCTCCACCATGCAGAGTGCAGCCTAAGCCCTGAGCTCACTGAGCGGAAGCCAGGAGGCTGGGCTTCTGTGAACTGTGTATGTGTGTGAGGGGGGTGGTGTATACAAGAACATCAGGGCAGGTGAAGTGGGTGTGAAATCTTAACAACGCCGAGGCATCAGGACCCCCAGAGATGGCGTGATGTTAAGATATCTGGCTGATCTTGGGGGAGGCACACGCAAGTGAAATTGTGATTGCTGTGGCGCTGCAGGAGAGGCGTGTAAGAAGGGCAAGGAGTTCTCAGAAGCAGTGGAGCACACGCTGCCCTTATCAGCACTTTGCTCTGAGGCAGCTCTAGGAAGCAGCCTCAGCCTGGCTCTTCATGGTACTTTATCTCCCTCAGAAGATCACAGTTTCTTTCTTAGAAAGCATCACAGCCTTTTCCTAGAAAATCATTCCCTGGAGATGTGAATGTTAGTGGATAATTTAGAGGAATTCATTGCACACGTCTCCTGTTAATCACCATGCTTCTTCTGCCTCAATCTGGGTATGCAGCAGAGGGGTTTCACTTTGGGATTTTGGGAAGCAAGAGGGACCTACCCTGTGTGCCTCAGACAGGAGGAGTCTGCAACCTTCCTCCACCCTGCTGGTGCTTTTGCCTCGGCAGTGACTGGCCCAGGGGCTGCAGAGGAAGTGGGACCCGTGTGTCTTGAGTCTGGGCGCATTCCCAGCTGTCTGAGCAAAGCCACAGACCTCACCACATTACGTGCCCTGCCCAGGGCTACTGCCCTCCTTCCATGTGTTTGGCAAGTGTTCGGCCAGCTGGCCAGGCCCAGGTTTTGTTGGTGGGTGACACTGTCTGCAGTAGACGTCTCTGGCATCAGGTCTCACTAGGAGACTAGTTCTGAGGACCTGGTATTGTGTCGGTGACTCCTCGACGCTACAGCCCACCTTAGCCTTTGATTGGCCTAAGAGTTGCTCCTCAGCAAGGTTCCAGCAAGGCTGCGTGCCCTCCACGGCCCCACCTAAAGGTGCAGGGCCAGAATGCAGAGCCACTACCTAGGCGCACTTGGCCTTCCTTTGGTTCTTGGTCATCTGTGAACACGTAGCCTCTATCAGAAAGTGGCTCCTTCCTTTCAGTTCTTTATGTGGATTTCCTTATTTAATTCTGTTCTGCCCTAGGAGGCAGCACTGTTGTTATCCCCGTTTCCCAGAGGAAGCGTCTGAGGCAGGAGGAGGTGGAACAACTTGCTCAGTCATCCTGGTTGTCAATAGCTGAGCCAGGAGTTGACCGAGGCCCTGAAGCACCTACTGCTCCATGCTGTGAGCCTCCTCATATCTGCTTACCCTGCTTGTGCTGGTCACAGGGACATGGAGGCAGTCCCAGCCCTCAAGAAGCCACTCTAAAGGGCGAGGTGGGCAAACAGTGCAACCCACATGCCCGACCATTACTAAAGTGGCAGGGGGTGGGTCCCTAATACCCACCTGTGGGAAAGGAGGGGACAGGCCCCAGGGGGTGGCCCGTAAACCAAGACTGCAGGGGTGGACTGGACAGGTGGGGGAGGCAAGGCCCAAGAGAGATGTGGCATGTCCCAGCATCTCCAAGCAACTGGAGCTGAGCAGAAACTGATGGAGCTGGAGGGGAAGGGCTGGCAGGAGCAGCTCATAGCACCTTGGAGCCAGGTAGGACCTTGGCCATCACCTCCTAACACTGTTTGATGACATCTTGTCCTGCTGGGCTGGGGCAGACCATCCTATCCATAGAAGAAAAATGGGAAGACTTCAGCGTGCACTGTCAGGCATGTGTCAGAAGTTGTGTGTCCCTTCTGAGCCACCATCTGTTCTTCTGTAAAGCAGACTGCACCCACCTTTCCAGAGTTCCTGTGAGCACAAGAGCATTGTCACATCCTTGGTGAAAGTAGTTCTCATCTTCTCTCCCCCACACCCATCACTAGGTGCAAGTTCCCAGGGCTGTGCCTCCTACCTCCCTTGCCCTGGAGAGAACACTCAGCCCAAGTGGCTCACGGAAACACAGGTGGAGCTCCTGGGGGCATTGGGGCTTCCCCAGGGTCTCTTTTTAGGCCTTCGTGTGTCTGACTGGTTTTCAAAAGCAATGCTACAGTTCCAGCATCCCTGCTAGCAGAATGATAAAAATAAAATAAAATAAAAAAATAGGGTAGACTCAAGCCAAGTCATCCAGTTTAGAAGAGGTTCCGTTTGTGACTTCAAGAGTCAATTTTCTGAAGGAGCGTTTTGACCACTCACCTCAGTCCAGTCCTTACTGTGAGGCAGCTGTCTAGAGTCACCTGGAAGCTTTGTCCCTCCAGCCTGGTTCAGAAATCAGCACACAGCAGTGTGCTTTGAGTTTGAGCTAAAGGAAGTGTATGCTTTAGCAAGCAGTTGAAGGCTCATCTGGTTGTTTTCAAGATTTTTGCTTGTATCCAAAGAACATTCCTTTCATCCCTTTGGATTCAAAAGTTTTCTTTTTCTTTTTTTTAAACTGAGTAGGCTTTTTTTCATTTTTAGGAGGCTGGTCCTTTTCAGAAATCCTTTATTTTTCTCAAGGACTTGGAAAGAAGTTCCGACAAGCCTTCCTGGTAGATTACTGCCAACTTGTCCAGTATTCATCATGCACTCCTCAGAAAGGAGTCCTGTGTGCCAGGCACTGGGCTGGGCCTGGGGTGCGGAAGTCCCTGCTGCCTGGACCTCCCTCTCTTCACTTGGGGAAGCCATCTGTATTAGCAAGCACCCAGTGCAGCAGGGGCTAAGGGCTGCGGCCTGAGGGAGTGGGGCCTGTGAAAGCTGCTCTGCAGAGCTGCGTCTAAGCAGAGACCTGGAGGATGAAGAGGAGCCATAAGAGTAAGAGCGCGCAAGGTGGCACTGTCCAAATGGACAGTTCCATCTGTGAAAGTCCTGAGATGTGGAAGAGGATGGCGTGTTCAAGGAGTAGTACCCCTGGAGTGGAACCCGCGGGAGGGGCATGGGACTTGGCAGGCCTCAAGAGGTATCTGGCAGCACAGTCGCCTTCCCCTCTCACACATTATGAATCGCAGCACTTACTCTACATGTGATGTATTTATTCAGCCTTCTCTGTGTGAGATACAAGGACAGAGTAAGACCAAAATAGCCCAAGTGCCACTGAGCCGCACTGGCTAAGAAGGGAAGTTCATATTGAAATAAAGGTCACTGGAGCCCTTAGGGTCTGATGGGAACACTCAAACAGAAGTTGGGATTGAGCTGGCGCCACCCACATGTAGGGGCAATTGAGAGAGGCGGTTAAGAAAGGCTGCAAGTTCATGAGTCAGACCAGCTGCAGCTCCAGCCCAACTTAGCAGTGTGAGCCTGCGCGAGTTACTTGGGCTCCCAGATCCTGAAGTTCCTCCTGTGTCCACCTCTTAGCCGTTGCCCAGAGTAGATGAGAGCACAGCTGGAAAGTGACAAGCCCAGTGCCCACAGACAATGAGCACTCAGAACTTCTGGCTGGACAGCAGTGGAGTTCAGTGGCATCCTCCATGGGCAAGACATAGGGTCTTTAATCTTCTGCATCTGTGAGGCTTAGGGCTGGAGCAGACACTTGGTCTCCTGCTAGGCCAGGACTTGGTGAACATCGACACTTGAGCTGAAGTGCTAACAGTCTTCATGTGTGATCTTGGAAGTCATGCTGGAATAAGTGATGGCGGCTATGTTTTATTTGTCTCCACCCTGTTACCTGCTCCCTTGAAAATCACAGCAATTTTTGTGCTTATCACTCTTAGCCTTGAGGAAATAGGAATTATGTTTTACTTTTTGCTATGTATTACACATTAAAGAAGATTCAGTAAACTCGACATTTTAAAAGGAAGGAAAAAGAACTTTCCATGATTTCATCACCCAGAAGAAATAGTGCTTAGACATTTTTTTGTGTTTGCATCTTCTCATGATGGCAAAGAGTGTCTTTGTCATGGTCTTGCTTTCCTCCCCCTGTCCTTTTTCACCCTTCTCATTGTAGTTGTTTATGTTGTGATACAGTGGGTTTGGGGGAGGGGGGTTCATTTGTTTTCAGTGTGGGGATGGAATCCAGGGCCTTGCCATGCTAGGTAGGTGCTCTACCATTGAGCTACACCACCCACCCCACAAAGCAGTTTTAATAAGTCTGGGTTTTTTGGTTGTCGAGAAAGGGTCTTGATACGTGGCCCAGGCTGGCCTCAAACTTGTGATCCTTCTGCCTCAGCCTCCTGATACTGCAAGCATGTACCGCCACGTCCAGCTGTTAAGTCTGATTTCTTAGGACTGCACAGAGGTCTCTCTGGTGACTTTTGCCATAATTACCTTAGGTATTTTCCTATTAGCAGATTCTATTACATTATTTTCAACTAAAGTGTAGTGGCCCATCTTATGAATATAGTGTTTCCTTTCTTTTGAATTTTTTCTTTTAGGATAAGGTCTCAGAAGTGGAATTTCTGGTTCAAAGGGTATGGACATTTTTTGTGCCTTGCTCCACTCTGCCACATTGCTCTCCCGGGGGCTGTCCCATGTCAAACTGCTTTTGCACTTTTTTCAAAACAACTGACTTTCACAGCCCTTTCCACCACCTTGGTGGGCTTCTAACCTGAGTAACTGTCACCTGACCCCCGGCAGCTTGCAGAAGTGGCAAGAAAGCAAGAGGGTGAGAACTGAGACTTTATCCCAGGGCTCACTGAGTCACCCATGCCGTCTGGTTGCAGTCACTGTGGATGTCCCATGGCACACCATTCCCAGAGTGCAGCCCTGGGGCTTGGGAATTCTGCCCTCACCTCAGGCCCAGCTTGAGCTGAGGTCTGTGTGACTCCAAAGTCATCCTCCTTCCCCCACTCATTGGATTAGTTCCCTGAAGATACCGTGTTTATCAGAGTTTACTTCCAGACTGAGAGGCAAGGAAATTGGAAAGGTTTCTTGTATTTGAGCTCAGTTGGCTTCTCCCCTTTCAAAATTTGATCTAGTCTCCCAGGGTCCACCCTGCTGATATTCTATGGAAGAATTGGAAAGAGTAATCCTTTCTTCTTCCTTTTTAGTAATGCTTTAAAATTTGCATCCTTATTTAGCAAAGCAAAGCACTCAATAAACCGTGGGCCCTAAATCCTAAATCTTTTGAAGGCCAAGGAGTGCAGTTGGAAGAACAGACTTGGAGCATAGTCCTCCACTGAGTGACCTTGGGCAGGCTGCCTACATCCCTGTGCCTAATGAGGGAACCACGCAGGGTTGGTCAAAGGCCTGAGTGAGATGACACCAATGGCCCCACACAGTGGCCAGACAAAGCACTACTGTTTCAGGGGGTGGTAGGATGGAGTGTATGGACCTTAGCCTCATGTTTTTGCTTTCTTTGGTGGATTTTCAGGGTCATGGGCTGGTCAACGTACCTGCCAGGCCCTCACAGATACCCTGGGGAGCCCAGCCTCTCCCTACATGGAGCACCCTCCCACCGTGAGACTCTGTCTCCTGCCATTCGTGGGTGTGAGTGGGGCTCTTGTGTACTCTGCCTTCCCTTGAGAGTTGGGGCAGGAACCAGGAAAAGTATTGGAATTTTATTTTATATGTTTTGTATTCTATTTTACATTTTGAATTATTTTATTTTCACTTGTTTGCATTCCTGGGAAATCTTCCATTTTTTTTCATTTGCAGAGCAAAAGTAGATGTTTTACCAGAAGGGCTACGTTAGGAGCCACATTGGGAACTCTTTAACGTTCAGTGGGAAGCTGTAGGTTTTCTGAGTGATAGGCTGAAGAAAGCCTGTGTGTTTCTATTTTCTCATGCCCATCTATGGTCTGCTAGGGTGTTTGCCTTCAGAACCCAAAGAGGACTGGAGATGCCACACATGGAGTGCCCCAGCCTGCCTGTGATGAGTCTTTTGCTTCTTCTTTCCCCATTCCTGAAGTCATGACTCCTTACCTAAGAGCTCTGACCACCCGATACTTCCAGTGACTGTCCACATCTTGGTTTCTCTGCACTGGGCTGGCCTGGGGTTTAGCATTTCCTGGTGCACTGGGTTAAGTGACACAGGCTGGTACTGTGGACTCTCAGCTCAGCCCTAGCAGCTGTATGAACCAAAGTCATTCTGCCCACTCAGCTCCTCCTGGAGACTTAAAGTTACAATAAAACACACACAGCCCCTGGCAAGCAATGAGTGCTTGCTAGATAGAAACTCTTTTTAGTTTTCAGTGGAGGGACACCTCTTTGTCTTCTGATTGGTACAGAGGAAGACTGTGCTTTAAAAACTGTTAAGGACAGGTCAGGTACAGTGGCTCACACCTGTAATCCTTGCTACTTGGAAATAGAAATTGGGAGGATTGAAGTTTGAGGCCAGCCTGGGCAAATAGTTCGTGAGACCCCATCTTATAAGCTAACTGGGCTTGGTGGCATGCTCTTGTCATTCCAGCTACTTGGGGGAGCACAAATGGGAAGATCACAGTCCAGGCTAGCCCAAGCATAAAAAGCAAGGCCCTATGTCAAAAATAAACAACCCAAAAAAGGCTGATGCAATGGCTTAAGCAGTAGAGCCCCTGCCTAGCACGGTTTAACCCCTGAACCACCAAAACCAAAAACAAACCTGTTAAGGACATTGAGGTCAGATACTAATGCCACCACCGGCATCACAGTGTGGAAGCTGTTTTCTCCTAGTTTACAGAGAGTGCTTTCTGGTTTACAGAGAGGACTGTGTTACTTCCATCCAACCCCGGGGTGGGGGTGGGGTAGGAGTACTCTTACAGTTTTTTGCGTTAGGAACCTATCCAAGGCCTCTCGTTGCTTCGAGGCCAAGGCAGGATCAGGGTTTAGGCAGGCTGATGGATCCTCATTGCCGGGGTCATCAGAAGGTGGTGCCATCTCCGCTCTTTGCAGGCAGGAATGTATCCCCTTCTTTATTTCAGGAGGTACCTTCCTGGATGAAGGAAGCCATCAGAGCCATAAATAAGAAGACCCAAAGTACACTGGAATCTATCTTGGTACAGCTCCCCAGTAGTGATAGTGACTTGTTCCCACACCTTCTCTGTGCCCAGCATTGTGCCTTTCAAGTGACTGGATGGCCACCCTTTACAGAACACTGTGCTAGCCACTTCCCCTCCAGCCTAATCTTGGGGCTGTCTCATACCCCTGTGAGTTAGGGATTGCTGTGCCCAGTCACAGATGAGGAAAATGAAGCTCACAGAAGCTGGGGCCTTGTCTAGCATAGTAGGGCTGGGATTCCAGTGTGGACCTTGTCTCTGCCTCTGGAGCTGTGTCCCTCGTCTAGCCCATGACTCCATGCTGGGAGAAAGGCCTAGAGACACCCTGTCATGTGGATTGCCCTCTGCTTCCTGGCTCTAGTTGGTGGCAAGCCTGCTTCTGGGGCTAACAGCCGCTTCCTGTATAATTTCATTGGCTTCTGGGGACTCTGCCTCTTTTGTGCTCTCTGGAAGATGTCTGATGGCCACACTGGATTCTGACAGACACCCTTGTCCTGGGCCAAAAATCCCTGTGCTGGCAGAGCCATCTCCACCCACCGAAGGCTGGCTGGGAAAAGCCTGAGGGGCACACAGGAGACATTGCCACACCCAGGGCACCTTGGGAGTACCAGCCCTCAGCCCTGCCAGTAGCACACTCTTCACCATGAAGTAGAGGCCAAGAGGTGGAGAGGCCCACCTGGGGGCAGGATTTTCAATCACCAAAGGCATATGCATGCTCTGCTCTTGTCCCCTGCCCCATCAACAAACAGGACCTCAAAACACTTGCTAGTGCTTTGGATTCCATGACCTCTGCTGGCTTGGGTGGAAAGGCAGGCCAAGTCCAGGCCTCCCTGGAAGCACAACCTTGGCTCCTTCCTCTCCGTGGGTCTTGGATGCCTGACTAGGACTCAGGCTCATGCTGAGCAGGGACCTCACTCTTGGCAGGTGCTGGCAGGTGCAGGTGCTTGGTGACAGTGAAATGACCCAAACCTAGCCCATGGATGACTTGAAGGGCAGGCTTCCCCTTCTGTCCTGCTGGGCCCGCTCCAGGTCGCAGTGCTGGAAATGGGACTATGTGTGGTCCCTTGCCTTCCTTTCTTTCTAACGAAGAGTCACCCACCCGAACCGCCTCTGCAGTTCTGCTCTCTGCTCTCTGCCCGTCCAGGCCATCCGGGTATTCTTCATGCTGCGCTCCCTGTCACTGCAGCTACGAGGAGAACCTGAGACCCAGTTGCCGCTGACACGGGAAGAGGACCTGATCAAAACCGATGATGTCCTGGACCTGAGTGAGTGAGATGGGGGACCCAGTTCTGCTGACACACACCACAGGGGTGGTGGTATGTGATGTGCATTTTGTGATACCCTTTTTCAGTGACCGTGTACAGCGTGTATGCATGGCCTATGAACTTTTGAAGGAAAGGTCCCTAGATTCCAAGCATCTCTACAGGTTCTGCTTACTGGAAAGCAGTGGCTTTGCTGAAAGGTCTAAGTAGGGTGTTGAGAGGCTCGGGCAAGAGCGGGCCCGCTGCTTTGACTGCATTGTGTTGTAAGGGTTTTCTGTGGGCTCCACTGATTAAAGGATTCTGCTGATGCCCACAGGAGTTGGCAAAACCAAGTCACCAGTGTCAAGGTAAGCATGAGGGCTCTGGAGACCCTCAGCTCAGCCTGTAGCCTTGGGCTGCCCGTCTGATCATGCCCAGTTTCCTCCATAACATGAGACTGAGATTCACTTTTATTCACTTGTGGCAGGGTCTCACTATGTAGCCCAGGCTGGCCTGGAACACACCATCCTCCTGCCTCAGCCTCCTGAGTGCTGGAATACAGTCATGTACCACCTGGCTGGTGGCTGAGTCTTAAAAGAGACAATGGGTATAAAGTCTGGTTGGGTTCCTAGAACCCTTCCCACGTTTGTACAGCTTTCTCTCTCTCCTCCATTTGCCATGGGACATGTGCACATTGAAGGACACCATGGTGGTCTATTAGGAATCTTTGGTTATAGGAGGCAGAAAACCCCAATTAGTCTGGCTGGTGGTAAAAGAAAGGGGAAATGGCTGATGTCACTAGATGTCCAGGAGTAGCTCTGTCGTTCAGGCATGGCTGGATCTGGGTACTCAAAACAGTACGGTCAGGAAGCTGCCATTCTCCATCATTTAGCTCTGCTTTCCTCTAGTCCAGCTTCAGCCCAGGAGGCCTTTCACCAGGTTGTAGAATCCAGCAGCTTTGGAGTTCTCTCTGCCAGCTAAGCAGCCCAGACAGAAGCAGTTACAAAAGTCTGAGGTAGAGTTCTCAATGACCTGGATCAGTGGTAAGAGGAACGTGAGGCACTGACTCGCCCTGAACACAGAAGTAGAGTCAGGTCCTTCTGACCCTGTCACCTGAGTGTGAGGAAGGAGGAGGCCTTCAGAGGATAATGTCAAAGGAGAGGTGAAGGTCAGGCAGACAGGAACAGCTAATGGCTCCTCTGCTGTGCTTTCAGCTCAGACTGATTGATGTATAATGTACATAGAGGAAAATTCACCAAGCTTTAGTGTGTGATTCAGTGAGTCTTGGCAAAACTGTTCAGTTGTGTGCCCAGTGATCATGACCACTGAGCCCTGGCTTTCAAGCCAGAGGTCTCACCACTGCTCTTGAGCAGTTGACCAAAACTGCTGCCAGAGCCTCCCTTTCTTTGCCTGTAACATGGGGTGGTTGGAGCTGGGCGTGTAGCTCAGTGGTCGAGCACTTGCCTAGTATGCACGAAGCCCTGGGTTCCATCCTTAGCACGAATAAAGGAGTGGTCTTTCTGGTATTTCAGGGTTGTTTTGAGGATTGAATGAAGTGTAATAGGAAGTATGGGGTGACTGAGCACAGTGCCTAGCACGTAACTGTGCTCAGCACACGTGTTGGTGTGGCCTGCAGATGAAATGCCACAATGCTTTTGAAGAGTGAACATACTGCCTGACCCAGAGCTGGAGATCTGAAATAAGACCTGTGCATGTCACCTGCTTGTCTCATTTTTTCTGGCCTTCCTCTTGTTGATTCTCTTTCATCTTTGCCTTTCTTGGAAAAACAAAGCTGTAACCCTTCTGTGCTCTATATTCGTCTCCTTTGGCCCTTTCCCCCTGGAGAAATGGCCATGGTGATTTCTGTAAGGGTTTAAATTGATCGAGATGGCTGAAATCATAACCCAGTCTTTCTCTGATCTAATCCAAGTAGAGGAAGGAAAACAGCAGGGCACTGAGAATGTGTGCATCCATGAAATGGAATTAAATTTCATGCTGGGAATTCACATTCCTTCCCTCCTCCCCCTAGGAATGGTCCGCTGAAATAAAGGTTACAAGTATTTCACTTATCAATTTTAATTGATTAGATTGCTAGTGGAGATCACTTAACTAAGACTTTTTGGGTAGTTGGCCATTAAGAAGGGCTGTCTGTCTTTACCCCATCTGATTGCAAATTATGTCTTTTGCTAAAGAGGGTGACATTCAGAAAATATTGGGGTTATGGATTTTAAAAGTGCATGGTACTAGAATAAGATGCATGTGTTGTGAGCTGGCTTCTTTTTTACACAATGTTGTTTGTTCATAAATGCTGGGAGAAATGATCATACTTTGCAGTGCACAAAGTGCTTTCTGCACCTGTGAAGGTGGAGCACCCTGGGTGAGGGCTGATGACTGGAAGCTGGGCTTTGTTCGAGGAAGCTGACTCAGGGAGAGAGATTTGGGATTGGTCAACTGTTATCTCCCTTGATAAGGCCTGATGGCTTAAAGAAATGCCGCTCCACACAGCAGGAAGCGGTGACATAAAGTATATTTACTGACCTCATCAGACTATGATAAGAAACCACTGCAGGAAGAACACTCCCCAGGAGCCAGTTCAAGTGTTTGCTGGCCAGCAGCAGGTGAGCCCTAGCACCAAAGGTGGCTTCTGCCCAAGAGCATCAAAAGGTGTGGTCATACCCAGGAAAGCAACATGCTTACCTCCCCATGCTGAAAGGTTGTTTGCTGAGGAGGGAGAGTGGCACTGGGTAGAGGTCTCCAGCTGACAGAGGTCCCCAGCTGACTGTCATGGGCTGTGCCAAAGGAGGGAATAGGGGAGAAGGAAGGGAGAGGAGAGCAGACCAGATAGATGAGCTCTTTGGAGCATCACCACTGCCCCCACACCCCAGCCTCAGCTCTGGCATTTCTTTCCTTCTCCCCTGGTAGTTTTATCTTCCACTCCTTTTAAAATACCCTGGCACCCACCCACCCGGTGTTTAAAGTGAATGGAACCCGCATATCATTGCCTCTTTAAACACTTCTCTAACAGACAAGGACTGTGCATTATTCTTAATTGAATTGATTGCCACCATTTGCAAATCCCAAGTGTCCCCAGCCCTGGTGGTGGCACACAGCTTTGGGCTGGAGGTGGGGGTGGGGACAGCCCTGGAGGTGGAGCTAGTGCCCCTTTGTGCTCCCAACCTGTCTCCTGGTCAGTGGCTTGGCCGCCTCTAGTGGAGCTGAAAGTAATCAGCCTTGAGGCCTTCCCTTGTGGGGTCTCCATGCGCAGGAGGTTTAGTGGCCTGGCCTCTAGAGTAGCTCTAGATGCTCAGGGAGGGCTGGGGAGGGGCAGAGAGAGCATGTGCCGTGCTCATTGTACTGCCCTGGGCGCACAGTAGGTGCTCAGGTGCAGAGCTGGCTGTGCTCCCTGCCACCACTGCTGAGAGACATGCACTTCGCTTTCTGCTTGAGCCATGCCCTGCATGCGTATGCTGAACTGTTTAAAGCTTTTTGTCCCTGACATGTGAGCTCTCTGGGGACAGGAAAGACAGCTCTGGCCAATAGGAGGGGCTGTGGTACTCCTTCACTCCTGTGGCCCACTGATAACAACTGCTCCGAGGACCAGCAGGCTTGGAGGAGAAACCCCAGGCTCCTGCCCAGGTGTGGCCGTGGAGCCCCGACAGGATTCCTGCCTATCTTCAAATGACACGGGCCATCATGGTACTGGGAACATTCACCCATTGTCCAGGCACCTGAGAGGCCCCAGGCAGTCAGAGATGCTGGGCTCCCAGCTTCCTTCCAGTTCCATTCATGTGGGCACTTGACACACACATGGTTGTAGCCACAGCACATGCTATATGCATCAAGTCTTGTCTTCTGATCTTAGAATACACTCAATGAAAATCTGTTCCATCAAAATCCATGCAAGCATTCATTCAGCCATTTATTTAGTACTTACTGTATGCCAGCACTGGACCAGGAGCTGGGATGTGATTATGGCAAAATCCAGACTTGGCCTCTGGTCTTTGGGTGCAGCCAGTTTGAGGGGAAGAGAAGAGAAGGGAGCAGACCAGTAATAGGCAAGTAGGTAAATGAAGTTGACCAGCAGGCTCCTTGCTGGAAAATAACTGGGAGAAAATTCCTCATAGGCTGGCAAGGGAAGGCCTCTCAGAAGAGGGGCCACACCAGAAGGGGCCAAAACTTTCTATGAGAAAATGCAGAAGTGAGTATGTCAGAAGTAAGGCCAAGGTGGGTGAGACCCTAAGGGAGGTGACGAGTCTCTCACGTAAGCAGCAAAGGAACACAGTGGCTGTGTCTCAATTGCAGGCTTGCCTGTGGAACATCTGTCTAGAGCTGCACCTCCAGGTCATAGGATCCAGCAGAGGCCTTTGGCCTGTAGTGAGGGGCTATAAAGGACCTGTGGCTTCGTGGTTATGAGCATGGGCCAGTGCACCTGGATGGAGAGCCCAAGCCTGCCCTGGCATTGCCTGTAGCATCCTTTAGGCTAGCAGCTGTGGCAGCCATGGTTCCCTCAAAGTCCTGTAGACGAGTAGCCTGGGTTCCTGCAGAGTCCCTTACATAGGCTGCCACAGCTCCTGAGGCTTCAGCTTTTGCAGAGAAGAAGTTAACCAGAGGAGGGAAGGAGCAACGAATGTGCAGTGCCTAGATCAGCTCTGGCACAATGGCAGTGAGACCATTTAGGAGGGATGTAGGTAGGGATCAGTGCCATGGGTACAGGGGGCTGGGACAGGGTGGGGACACATTTTGTGACTGACTTGTCACAGCAGAGCTGGAGAGTCCCACTGACTCTGGGGATCTGAACTTGGGTACATGGTGGCAGGGGCAGGAGAATGGTGAGTTCTTCATGAGGTGGGCCAGTCCTGGAGGAGGAGCCTACACAGCCATCCTGCAGAAGCCTCATCTACAAGGTGGGGTCCACATGTGGCTCATGCCCTCTGGTTTGCCTGGGCAAGTATCCCTGAGCTCTGCTTCATCCTGTTCTATGGCCTGGGCACAGGGCTCTTCCTTGCACAGAGACCCATCCTATT